TCCCCTTTTCCCTTTAATTTTCTCCCTTCCCCTTCTCCCCCTTTTCCCTTCCCCTTCTCCCTTTTTTTTCCCTTCCCCTTCTCCCTTTTTCCTTCCCCTTCTCCCGTTTTCCCTCCCCCTCCACAGAAAGTGGAACCTTTCAGCGTTCCCTCCAAAAAAGTGGAGCTCCCGGCCAAGAAACCGGAGCCGGCGGCGGCCGAGGAGGATGAGGAGGACGACGACATCGACCTTTTCGGGAGCGACGACGAAGAGGAAGACCGGGAAGCCGCCAAAGTTCGGGAAGAGCGGCTCCGGCAGTACGCGGAAAAGAAGGCCAAGAAACCGGGAATCGTCGCCAAGTCCTCCATCCTCCTGGATGTGAAGCCGGTGAGTGACGGGAATTTGGGAGCTCCGGGGCGAGGTTGGGAATCTTCTCCCTTCCTTCTCCTCCGAGAGGAACGCTGGGAGGACCTGTGGAATTCCAAACCTTGGAACCGGGTGGGATGTTCCCGTCGGGATGTTCCTGCTGGGATGTTCCCACCGGGATGTTCCTGCTGGGATGTTCCCGCTGGGATGTTCCCACTGGGATGTTCCCACCGGGATGTTCCTGCTGGGATGTTCCCACTGGGATGTTCCCACCGGGATGTTCCCACCAGGATGTTCCTGCTGGGATGTTCCCACCGGGATGTTCCCGCCGGGATGCGTCGCCTTCGCGCTGCAGAATCCTGGGATGCTTTGGGGTGGGAAGGGACCTTAAGGATCATGGAATTCCATCCCCTTCCATGGGCAGGGACACCTCCCGCTATCCCAAGGTTGCTCCAACCTGACCTTGGACACTTCCAGGGATGGGGCAGCCACAGCTTCTCTGGGAATTCCATCCCAGTCCCTCCTCACCCTCCCGGGAAGAATTCCTTCCCATTATCCCATTTATCCCAATATCCCATTCCTTCCCAGTATCCCATTCCTTCCAGTATCCCATTCTTTCCCAATATCCCATTCCTTCCCAATATCCCATTCCAATATCCCATTCCTTCCCAGTATCCCATTCCCTCCCAATATCCCATTCCTTCCCAATATCCCATTCCTTCCCAGTATCCTATTCCCTCCCAATCTCCCATTCCTTCCAATATCCCATTCCTTCCACTATCCCATTCCTTCCAGTATCCCATTCCTTCCAGTATCCCATTCCTTCCCAATATCCCATTTATTCCAATATCCCATTCCTTCCAGTATCCCATTCCTTCCAGTATCCCATTTCTTCCCAATATCCCATTCCTTCCCAGTATCCCACTCCTTCCAGAATCCCATTCCTTCCCAATATCCCATCTAACCCTCTGGCACTGGGAATCCATTCCCTGTGTCCCGTCCCTCCATCCCTTATCCCCACTCCCTCTCCGGCTCTCTGGGAGCCCCTTTGGACACCGGAAGCTGCTCCCAGCTCTCCCTGGATCCTTCCCTTTTCCAAGCTCCGGTGAAACCAGCCGGGAAAGGGCTCTTTGGATCAGCTGGATGATCCCAAGAGGTGTCCTGGTGTAAAGGAAAAAGGGAAGATCCTACGGAAAAAGGGCAGGAAATCAAGGAAAAAAGAGGATCGCTGCCGAATCCTGGGAAAACACTTGAACTTCCCGCTTTTCCCGCCTCTTTTCCCAGTGGGACGACGAGACGGACATGGCCAAGCTGGAGGAATGTGTCCGTTCCATCCGCATGGACGGGCTGCTCTGGGGAGCTTCCAAGCTCGTCCCGGTGGGATACGGAATCAGGAAACTGCAGATCCAGTGCGTGGTGGAGGACGAAAAAGTGGGAACGGACATCCTGGAGGAGGAGATCACCAAGTTCGAGGATTACGTAAGTCCGGGATTGGGAGAAGG